AAGGAAGGAAGGAAGGAAGGAAGGAAGGAAGGAAGGAAGGAAGGAAGAACAGGCTAACCTTTTGGGGTCTCGAAGAGGCTGTGCTGACTCAATTGAGCAAGTAAGGGATTCCCACTGCTGTGGGGTTCCAGGTGACTCAAAGGAATGTACGAGGGGTAGAGACCACTTGACAGGTGGGAGAAACCTGAAACAGAAGATAAATTCACAGATCACTTCAGGATTCAACACCCCCCCCCAATACACACAAACACACCATGTTGCTTTCTCCCTGCCCTTTCCCTCCCACCCCCTCTAATTTCTTCTCTCTCTTTTTTTTCCTTTGCTTTCTTTGTATTTTCTTTTTAATAAAGTTCCAAAAAAAAAAAAAAAACTGGGGTTGGGCTGTTCAACCTTCTGATCCTGCCTTCTTCCCTCCCTTCTCTAGGTTGTTTTGTAAGAAATAATCAGGGGCCAAAATAAATAAGTAAATCAAACCACAATGAAAATGAACAGAGTTGGCAGTTAGCAGCGTCATCCGTCTAAAACCCCAAATTTCTGAAAGCGGTCGAGGAACGGAGCCCAAATATTTGACTTCCTCAATTCCTTCTGCCATTTACTTGGACCACAAGAGACGAACCGGTAGCCCCCCCACAAAGGGAAGTCCAAACCCCCAACGTCCTGCTTCTTCATCAACTCCCAACCCCAGGCAGCAGCCGATACCTCGCCCCCCCCCCAGCCCTCCCTGGTTCGGGAAATGGGTCTGCAGGTGCTCGGTGTTTCCATCTGGCGGGGCATTAGTGGCTCGGGAATCCTTGAAGCCGAGGCAGACTCTACAACGGTGGGCTTGGCGGTCAGAGTCACTGGCGAGGAAGTCAACCAGAGGAGGAAGAGTGGGGACGCCTTTGAGTCTTGATAAGAGCTTCAACTCGGCCAAGTTGTGGTCAAGCAACCCAACCCACAAGCAGTGGGGGGTCAGGAAGACAATCGTTGTGTAATTCGGAAAAGGGGGGAAAATCTCACGGAGCGGCCATTTCGAAAACCCCACCATTCCTTTGCGATCAAAAGAAGAGAGAACAAAAGGGGGGAGGGGGGGAAAAACCCCAATGCAAAAAAAAAAAAACGGAAAAAATTAAATGATTCAACAACAGCAAAACACAAAATTAAAGTCCTCCCGGTTAAGGACTCTTGCCTAGGAAATGCGAGAGCTGGGTTTTAGTCTGGGTGACCAGGAGATGGTGAGTTCTAGTCCCATCTTAGGTGTGAAAGTCAGCTGAGTGACTCTGGGCCAATGACCAGGAGATGGGGAATTCTAGTCTTGCCTTAGACCTGAAAGACGAATGGGCGACTTTGCGCCAATCTTTCTCTTTCTCTCTCTCTCTCTCTCTCTCTTCCTCCCTCCCTCCTTCTGTCTCTCCCTCCCTCTCTCCCTCCCTTTCTCTCTCCCTCTCTCCAATTCTCCCTCCGTCTCTCCCCTTCTCTCCCTCCTCTCTCTCCTTCCCTCTCTCCCTCCCTCTCCCTCCCTTTCTCTCTCCCCCCTCTCTCCAATTCTCCCTCCGTCTCTCCCCTTCTCTCCCTCCCTCTCTCTCTCCCTCCCTTTCTCTCTCCCCCTCCCTCCCTCTCCCTCTCTCCCTCCCTTTCCCTCTCTCTCCCTTTTCCTTCCTCCCTCCCTCTCTCTCCCTCCCGTCCCCCCCCGAGGGTTGTTGTGGGGAAAAAATAGGAGGAGGAAAGAGTTTTAAGGATGTCCTCTACCTTGAGTCATTTATAACAATAAACTATTTTATAAACTAAAACACAAGACTTTGTGAAGTGCCAAACAAAGTTATCAAACTAGCTGGCCAAAATCTCCACAGATCAGATTTAGAATATGGTCTAAATATGGTTGAAAGTCTTCCTCTGGCCAAATAATGAAAAAAGAAAGAAAGAAATTGCCATTTACCTTCTGCAAACAACAAGGATGCAAAAGCACATTTGTAAGATCAGAGTCTACCTTTGGCTACTTTAAGACCTGTGGATTTCAGCAGGGGAATTCTGGGAGTTGAAATCCACAGGTCTTAAAAGGGGCCAAGGCTGTACAGGCCTGCTGTAGCTGAAAAAAAACAGTGTTCCCAAATTTCACCTGGGCTGTGCAAACACCACAATGAACCCTCCTTCTCTCCAGGGACAAAAGTGACATGCCTACTCCAGTTGTATCCTCCCCTCTTCTCTATAGGAGCAGGTCTGGCTTTCCGTGCTCCTAGGACACCCCAAAGGAGGAACCAGGAAACCATTATTCCAGACCCAGAAATGTCAGGAATGAGGGAATCTAACAAATGTAGGATAGACACACAACCTGACCATCAGCTGCACTTCCTCCGTTCACTTCCAATCATCCCTCCAACTCAAAACCATCCGTCATAGAAATCCGGAAGGAATTCTTAAGCCTTCCCGTGAAGACCCAAAGGGTCTTGCTTTTGGCAAGAGGCCACTGGATTTTCTGGGGTTTCTTTGAAGACCTTTCGCTTCTCACCCCAAGAAGCTTCTGCCATCACGGTGGCAAGAAAGGTTGTCAATTGAGGCCAGCCTCGTTTCAACAACCTGTCTTGCTTAGCCACAGAAATTTGGGGCTCGGTGGTTGTCGTAAGACGAGGACTACCCTTAGTTTTGTCTCCAAGGTTTCTCAGAATCGGGGCCAGGATACAGTGGTGTCTCAGGAGCCCACTTCCAAAGGTGGCATTCAGCTGGTTCGGACCGGTTCTAGAGAACCGGTAGCGGAAATTTTGAGTACTTCAGAGAATCGACAAATGCCACCTCTGACTGGCCCCGCCCCCATCTATTCTCCGCCTCCCATTGAGTCCCAGCTGATTGGACACCCACCAAGCCACACCCACAGAACACCACGTCCACCAAGCCATGCCTATAGCTGATTGGCTGGGTCTTCTTTGGTTGCCCTGCACAGGAGAACGGAGCTGGAAAGCAGGTGAGTGGGGTGGGGAGGGAATGGGGATTTTATAGTATCCTTCCCCTGACACGCCCACCAAGCCTTGCCATGCCCACCAAGCCACGCCCACAGAACCAGTAGTAAAAGAAATTTGAATCCCACCACTGCCTACTTCTCTTCCCATCTTCCTCACCGTAGCTGACCCTACCGCTTTCTTTTAGTTTATTGTCATTGCACCTCGTACAACGAAATCAAATACCATCTTCAGTGCACATCATGACCATGAAAATAAACAAAAAACACACATCCTTCACACTCCACACATTGAATTGAAAACCCCTGATATTGCATTCATATTGCACTAGACAGTAGAATTCGATAGAGCTACTGCCCTGGGATAGAAGCTGTTTTTCAGCCTGTTTGTCCTTGTTTTTATTATTATCCTGTACCGTCTGGCAGATGGTAATAGTTCAAAAAAAGGGGAGCCCAGGATGAGATGGATCTTTGAGGATGTTTTGAACTTTCTTAAGGCAGCGGGAGCTACAAAGCTCTTCCAAAGAGGGGAGAGGGCAACCCATGATCCGCTGGGCAATGACGTTAACCCTCTGGAGTGCTGTCCTATCTGCCACTGGGCTGAGCTTTCTTTCTTTCACTGTCCTTCCTCCTGCTGGGTTCTGTGGTGGCTTGAGGGCCAATCTCATGACCCCATGATGCTTTGTCTCTTGATAATGACTCAACGATTAAGACAAAAAAAAAAAAATAAAGAAAAATGAAAATAAAGCCCAGCCCTTGGAGATTTAGGAAACGGAGAGCCAAGCTTTGGATGTTTTTCTTGGGTTGGGCTCAAAAGGCCAGGCCAAGTGCTTGCAGTAAACAGTTTTTGAAGTGCTCTTGATGGAAATGGGTCAAACTCATTGAAGTCACTTCAGGAGCTGAGCTACTCAGGAGCTGAAGCCTGGTTAGGGTTCCTGGGGGACCAGTTCGGGAGCAACAGTTCCAATCCACTGCTCCCCAATTTCCAAGGTCTCCTTGCAAAGTCTTCTCTTAAAGCTAAATTCATTGGGAGTTGGGTGGAATATACATTTAATCTATTATTAGGGTTGGTTTGCACAGTCAGCCAGCTATTTAGACTGGATCTGGCATTTTTGTCTACCTCTCCAGCCCTTCCCAAGGCTGTGAGATAAGCAGATGTTGTTTAATAATATGAAATGCCCCAGGGTTATGATTATGACTAATCAGCCAGTTCAACATTAAACAAAAACTTCTTGCAGAAAAATAAAAAATAAAATAAAAGGTAAACGTTGGCACAGAAGCTGTTAACCTTTGGGGCCACCAACCTCGTTGCACACCTGCTGAAATCTTCTCAGAAAAATTAACTTAATTTAAATCCACCTATATAGGAAGGAAGCCAATCAGACATGAAATACAGTTATGATTTTTTTTTAAAAAAAAAAAAAATTGCAGTAATACATCCACTAATTTATTCGCCCATCAAACCAATAATGGGACAAGCTAGTTTTCAGGACAAGGTTAAGGATAACCAAGGGGTATTTTTCCCCCTACCCCAAATTTTTTAAAGCCCCTCCTGGACTATCTCTGAGTGCTTCATGGTGCCAAGCTTAAGCTCCTCCCCCTTTGCCAGCTTCGCCAATCCGTGTCCCTTTCGCCACCCCAACCCCAGTGCCTCCATCTCCACCTGGCAAGATCCAGGTAAGCAATTACCACCTTCGTATATATAATATGCTCCCCTGTGCTCCTCTTTGGAGAAAGGGCAAGATGTAAACACAATAAAGGTAATTGCTTAATTGCTTAATCATTTTAAACCCAGAAGAGTTAATCGGCTAAAAGACGTCTTTAAGCAGTTGGCAAGGCTGGTGAATGGGTGGAGACTGGCGTGTGAGAAGTGGGGGAGAGAGAGAGAGAGAGAGAGAGAACAAGAAAGAGAATGAGAGAGAGAGAGAACCAGAAAGAAAGAACAAGAAAGCAGAGAAAGAATGAGAAAGAGAGAGAGAGAACAAGAAAGAGAATGAGAAAGAGCAAGAACAAGAAAGAGAATGAGAAAGAGAAGAGAACAAGAAAGAAAAGAATGAGAGACAGAAGAGAAAATGAGAGAATGACAAAAAAGAGAAGAGAGAGAGAAGAAAAAAGACAAGAATGAGGTAGAGAGAGAACAAGAAAGAAAGAGAACAAGTGAGAGAAAGAATGAGAAAGAGAGAGATAAGAAAGAGAATGAGAATAAAGGATGGGAAAGAGAGAGAGAACGAGAAAGAGAATGAGAAAGAGAAGAG